AAAAGTTTTATTTGTAATTTCGTAAGAAAATGCAAAATTATATGCACATGATATTCTATTATTATCAAATTTAATATATTTTGGTTGTACAAAATGGTGATTCTAGATTAGTTCAAACCGGATGAATTATAACCGATTTTCTATATTTATATATGATTGGCGCCCCAAATCGGAATAGCGATTTTCTCTACTTTATATGCGGATCACGAATTAACTATGTTTGAATAATTAACATTGCTTGCATTAAGTTCTGGAATTTCAATAAATTCTTTGATCACCGAATCTAAGGTATCTATGCTTAAATCTACAGATGGTCAATGGTCCTACTCGGTCCGGTCTAAGCCGGTCCCGGTCTTTGTAGAACGAACCGTGGTCTCTGGCGCAGTAAAACCGATAATAAGACCGATCGAAAGACCATCAGTTCTACATTTCGGTCTTATATATAAATATAATTTTCTTCCTTTTTTATAGGTTCTTTCGGTAGCCGATAACGGTAAGCTTGTTTCATTTTTTTCGTTTATTTTGTTTTCTCCGCTTCGTTACTTCAAATTCTAACAATTTCCTCTTAATTTTTTTTTTAGAACTTCATTCTTTCGGCTCTTTCGATTTGGCGATTACGGATAAGTCGTTTTTGTTATGCTTTCTTTTGTCCGCTTCTTTTTTTTTGTTTTTTCCTTTCATTTCTTTTACATTTCTAGCATTTTTCTTTCTTATTTTAGATCATCCTGGTTTGTGGTTATGGTAAACTTGTTTCGTTATTTCTTTCGTTTTCGGTCGAGCTTCTTTTACATTTCTAACATTCCGTTTCTATTACTCTTTCTTATTTTTAGGTAGGTCTCGGCTATTCTGGTTCTTGTTTCTCATGCGATTAGGCAACTTTGCTTCAGTTTGTACCGAAAGAATGAAGTTCTAAAAAATGAAAGTGGGAAGAATTGATGTATAATTACATAATTATGTTGATCGGTTTTTTGAAAGACTGCGGTCTTAAAAAGACCGCCGGACTTAATCGTCATCGTCATGGTAGTAACCTCTCAGTTTTCCAAGATTCTTCAGGTTGTAAATTTGCATCGATTTTCTATTCTTCGGTTTTATCAATCGACTAGGAATAACCCCAAGGTCGATTTCACCAAATCCGGAATGTATTAATTTAAATTGAGTACCAAAACCGATTAAAAGATTCTAATGGCTTCATCAAAATTATAATAGTCTTTTTTTAATTCTTCATAAGTTCCCAATCCATAAGTAAATAAGATAATGGTACTTGTTTGCGATAAATGATGAAAGATCCTTTGATATTATTTACTAAATTCGTGAGATTTAATCGTGACGATAAGTCTCCTGATACGTAGATGTGGTAGGCATGCATGATTCATTCGGATATTGAGGATCAATCACATTTCCATAATTATACCCATGTATACATTCTGATTGATACTCTTTTGGTATCTCAACATTTGGTTCAAATTCCTTTGTTACTTCAATTGAACGATTAAGTTTATCGAATTTTCCTAAGGTTGTGGGTCTCTTAAGAGTAAAGTGACCTTGTGCCCACGTTTTCGAATAAAGTGTGCTATAAAAGAACCACTATTACCAATTCAAATATATACAAATTTTTCATTTTGTAAGGTAAATTGCTTGTTGATAGAAGGAAAGAAAATAAAATATTGGAAAATGTTTATCAAAGTTTAATGTAATTTCACGTGACAAATCTTTCCAAAAATTCTTTTGGATAAATTTTATTAGTTTTTTTCATGTTATCGGGGATTTAAAATTCAAAGAAGATCTTAAATCTTGGCCTCATATACTTCTACGATGATGAAATGAAATCATATTTTTAATTTTACTCCGTTGGCAGATCGATCATGAAATGGGTCGGTATTAGAGTACGGCCAACATTAACTGTGGCTCCTAGTTACAGTATTACGTGACAAATAAGTTTTACTTTAGGCGTGGTGAATTATCACGATTTGATCACGTCATATTTTTTACGTTTTTTTAGAGTGTGATATCCAATTTGTCACTCGTTAGGATAACTATGCGCCACATTAAGCGGTGGGTTCTTTTTTTTTGATCACTATTATAATTATATAAACTGGGGAAGAAGTCCCCCGCACACCGCAAACTCTAGTTTTATAAATTTAGCAAACTCCTTGCCAATATTAGTTCTTAATATAATTGTAAATCGGAGTCATTAAATATATATTAAATGAAATAATTGACTGTTGTGTATCAATCAAAATTAATTAGGTATTTAAAACCGGTCAGTTGGTTAAACCAGAATGGTATTTGCCAACTCTGCAAATGATCCTTGTTAAGGATTAAAGGGTATTGGATCCGGTGAGTTTAAACATATTTAGTATTTCATAAAACGTATAATATATTGACTTATCTTATCATTATTATGTAGGTTGGAGTTCATTTATTCCAAATTACGATCCTCGCGAAATCGTTAACAAATTAAAACGATTAATACACAATATCCTTTAACAGAATCCTTTAGAATTTTGAAGTCTCCAAACATATTTATAGGGTTTAAGCAATGACATATACAAGATCAATGGCAAGATCCACTAAGTTAACGATGAGTACATCCGAATTACTGAATTACCGATTCGTGCATGTACGCAGGTTTATAAAGAACAGCCAGAGCTGTAATAAATAATGAGCCAAGCTGGATCCTCGTACGTAAACATTTATGTTGCTAATCTGCCTTAGAATTTTTCTATTAATTTATAAATAATAGGAGTAAAAAGAAGACCATGCAACAACTACCATAGACTTTACGGTCAAATTAATCGCAAACAAGCTTAAGAGATTCTTTTGAAGAAGGACCTGAAAAACGTTACAAGATGAGCATGGTATGTTTCGATGTCAACGATCGTATTCAAAAATATATTTCGCCTGAAGAAATTCTTAAGATACAGGCTCAATTACAATAAAGGTTCGCATTTTTTTGTATTATCATTAATTTAATTTGTATGATTCTAAATTTATAATTCTCAAAGATGAACTTTATAGGCGCGTATGATAAAGATACTTGAATATGTACAAGTATAAAGCTAAATTTGTTAAAATAGTCTTAAATATGAAGGCCTATCGAGGATTGAGACTATTGAATTATTAGAGTCCAATGGCTTTGAAAGATTTACGGACGACAGTGATGACGATAAGGAAGCAGCTGTTATTGACTTTGATGATTCTCATTGATATGATTATTTGATGAATGTTTCAGCGTGGATCTTTTGTGTAGAAGGCGTAAGTTTTCTCATTGATATAATAACATTGTTTTATTCTGAATCTCTTGATATTCTTCTACGTATCAGGAGCAAAGTATCATGAAGAAAAAGCCGTGAAAGAAAGAGAACTTAACGATCTTAGGAGGAAACATCCCAACAAATGTGGATAGAGGATTTATATTATTTTATTGAATCTTAGGATGTAGGTTGTGAATTTTTATTTACTGTATATATATACTTGTGTTATTTAAAACAGTAAATAATATAATAATAATATTATTAAATAAATTACAGGATATTCTAAGACAAAAATAAGGAAAGTCCAAGTGAACACTGATAACGCGCCGAAATAACTACTAAATAGAAAGTACCTACCAGTGAATCAGTTTACAATCATTATCAATTAATGAATCTGCTGACGACTTGACGACATATTAGGAAAGAATATTAATCGGTTGATGACGTGAGAAGGAAGAAACAATCATTTTCCACTGAATCGGAGAAAGAAGAGGATTATTGTCAATTGATGAATTATTTGATATTAAATGCCATCATGAACTTTACGAAGGTATTGAAGTAGATGTAACGTTCCCCATTGATTTAAAAAGATAATAAGAACCTTGATAAAAGAAAAGAAACGAGCATGTAGAGCTTCCGAATAACCTAATAACGTTACCGTCGATTATTCGCATAGCCAATAAATTATGTTGTATTATCTAATGAAGAAAATACTTAAACATTTTAAAGAGTATATAATCTTTTAAATATTGTTGAATCACAAAAATCGCAAAAATATTAATTGGCGAACTTTTTTTTCCTTTCCTAAAACAATATTTAACTTTTCGTTATAGTATATTAATTTAAATTCAAAATTTGAATTATGTACATATTTTACGCTTTATTACCATTT